TTTGGCGCTGCATGCAGCGTATTGTGAATATTATTTTGAAGCACTTCAAATGTTATTCTTCCTTTTTATTTTTATTGTATTTTTAATATTTTTAATTATACCAAACAAAATTGTTTCTAAACAGATACATTTTCCTATAGGCTACGATGAAGTGTATATTTTTGTTCACACAGGTCCTATACAAAACTGTGTGAATGGATGATTTGTTTCTCCTTGAAAATCACTCATTTAATAAGCAAAACAGGCCAAAATGTTGTTTAGCTTGAGTCAAACTGGATGGACAATTTACAAATATTAAATACAAAGGCTGATTATTTTATGCAATGAGGGACAATAGGCCTATAATAAATTAAAGAAAATTATTTGCATATTAAAACGAAAATATATAAGCTTTACAACCTGTGAGAAATGACTTTAGATAATGTAAACAAGCTTCAAGTTTTGTTTGAGATTGTGTCCTCTAATTCATTAGTGTAGCCATAAAAGAGACTGAGCATCAGAAATACTGGGTGCCTTATTTACTGTCAAAATAATGTGCAAAAAATAAATAAAAAAATTACTTATCACCAACCTTATATGTGAAATAAGCAGGGCCCGCTGTAGCACTTTCTCAAGAAGAGCAATGTCAAATTATTAGCGCAACGCACATGCAGCGAGCTCATCTGTTTATCGGAACTACTAGGCACTATTTTTTCAGCACCGCCTACATGTGTAAAAGGAATTTTGAAGACGTTTATCCGTTCTCCTACCTTAAACCAAAAAACGAAAATCCAGCCAAAATCTCGTTTTTTCGTTTTCTCGTAAGCAAAAGAAAAACGCCATTTTTTTCCTTTCCTTTATTTCGTTTAAAAATGGAAAACAAATGAACAAAACGTACACAGTCCATTACGCTGTGACGACCCCCAATTAATAAAGGGACTAAGCCAAAAAGAAAATGAATGAATGCAGTGTTTCCATGTAATGAATCAAAAAGAACAAAATCGTCACTTCCTGATTAACTGGCGCCAAATCTCAACAGTAAAAACAGAATTTACTGCGGTAGGAAAAACTACATGAATCTTTTCTGTGTTTAATAAATGACTTTCACCTCAGAGGACAATGTCAGCACACAATGAACATGTGGTGAAGATTTAGCGCATGTTTTTTCATGCCTATATTTCAAAAGTTATGTGCATCATGATGTTTCCATCAACTGTTTTTTTTTTTACGCTCATAGCCTATCCAAAATGCACATAAAAATAGGTGGCTGAATATGTAAGGCTAAGTGAGAAATACTGCTTCATTTTTAAAAAAAAAGAAAAGAAAAGGAGACCGACAGAAACTCAAAACAGAGTTAAGAGAATAAAACCTGCTGACCAGGTTAGGTTCACAGAGTATGTTACCAAGTTACCTCTCTTTCAGAAACAGGCTTGACTTACCCTGCTTTCTCGAATTTCACAAACTTGCCATTTTGATAAGCAAATACCAGAGTTTCTCTCATTTCAGGGTTAAAATGCTCTGAGTTTTCACTCAACCTCCTTTCTGAAATGGGGCACTGATCTCATATGCTATTGTTTTAAAGCTTCAGTTGCCTATTGGAGAAATGACTAGGACTAATAAACGGCTACTTTCTCCACAAACAAATGTGTTCATGTCTATACATACAAAGAAAAATAATTAAATTAGAAAATATGACTTGATGCAACAGGGGCGAAGCAGAGGCACAGTAGATAAAGCTGTCGCCTCACCGCAAGAAGGTCACTGGTTCGAGCCTTTGCTTAGTTAGCGTTTCTGTGTGGAGTTTGCATGTTCTCCCTGCCTTCCCATGGGTTTCCTCCGGGTGCTCCGGTTTCCCCCACAGTCCAAAAACATGCGGTACAGGTGAATTGGGTAGACTAAATTGTCCGTAGTATATGAGTGTGTGTATGATTGAGTGTGTGGATGTTTCCCAGGGATGGGTTGTGGCTGGAAGGGCATGCGCTGCATAAAAACTTGCTGGATAAGTTGGCAGTTCATTCTGCTGTGGCGACCCCCGATTAATAAAGGGACTAAGCCGACAAGAAAATGAATGAATGATTGACTTTGCAACATCAAGCAGCATTAAGCATGGACCATGTGATGGCCAGTGTGGTGTATGTTTTGTTAATTTAGTTTTGTTTTGAGTTTAAGTTACCGTGCTGCAGTGTCGACGAGGAACGGAGTTTCTGGATGTAGTCCAACAAACTAAAGGGCAGACGTGCCGCCAAGTGGCATCTATTGGTTCCGCCAATCGATACCATTGGCTTAATGGCTTGGAGGGAGAGCTGATCTTTAGTTTAAGTTCATTAATGATTTGCAGTGTTTGTTCAGATTTATATTTAGTTTTGCTTCATTTAGAATTTATTTAACTAATATTTAGATTTGTATTTAGATATTTGACTTGGTTTATTGTTGTTGTCTGTTTTTGTCTCCCCCTTCTTGTTTACTGTGGACTAGTCCCTCTGGTATAAATGTGGTCTGTCTTGTCATTTCAAGGAGTTCTGTTTTTGGTTTATTCATGATTAATTTGGTTTGAACTCAGTTTTTTGTTTTCTTTGTTTAGTTTATTGATTTTTCAATTGATTTAATTGTTTCATTTATTTATTATTTGAGTTTTTGAGAAATTTTTTGACTTTATTAAAAATAATTATTTTAAAAAATCTACTTTTTGTATGCCCCTTACTATGTGTGCTGGCTCAGTCCGTCACAGACCAGTATAAGATTCTGACGGTGTGATAAACTTGACTAAAAATATCATGATTTCTCAGTACTGTGATTACCATTTATAAATATATTCTTTTTAAATGTCTGGTTAAAAAACCTAAACTTTTTTTTCCCCTTTGAACACAACATATTTTCACTTGAGAAACTTTGAAAGTATTTTGGAGCAGTAAACATGTCAGGCTAAATAATTCAAATGATTTTTTTTTACCATTTAAAACAGCATCTTTGGATGTATTTTCTGCTGGAGACACTGTTGTCCTTAAAATCTTCAAACAAAATGTAAAAAACGTAACGATGGTACAGCAAAAATATTGGTTTTAAAACTTTTTTTAAACCGCGGTATACCTTGAAAACTGTCATTGTCCCATGCCTAATACCGTCCAATGGCGGCACCTGCTGGTACGTGAAGAATATGGTCAATACTGACAAACTTTACACTCAAATGTTTGCACATCATCAGCATGAGTAATCCATTTCTTAAACAGCAAAAGTCATTTTTAGACTAGTTTGTTGGCCAGCTGTAGTCAGTGCAATGCTAAACGTTATTGTCCCACTAGAATGTGTTTGTATTGTCTCACAACATCCCACAGCAACATCACATAGTTTAGAATACTGTACAATGTTTTATAACAATTAATTATTTTAGTGTCCATTTCATTCAGAATATTTAATATTGGGGGCATCCAAGCTTTCTGACATAAAGAAATTTTTCAAATGGCCCAGATGGAAAAGATTATAATTTGCCCTTTCAAAAAATATATTTTAATTTAATAATACAATAATAAATGAATCATGAAAAAAAAAAAAAAAATATATATATATATATATATATATATATATATATATATATATATATATATATATATATATATATATATATATATTTCTTAGCAAAAGCTCTAGTTTTATTCATACTTTTTTTTTCCAAAATAACCTTTAAAAAGTAATTTAAAAAAATGAACAAATGTTTTGAAAGTTTTAAAAACTCTACTAAAATAAATCTACACACAACAATCTGTCCAAGTCGATATCCTCAGCAGAAAATACATGGAGCTTATCTAAACAAATGTTATTGTGAGGAAATTAATAAAACCATTATGATAAATAAAGTTAAAATGACCTTTTTGAATGAAAAGTTTAAAGTTTTATTGAGATGGATTGTTAGTGATTGTATATGTTTTGGACAGGCTGAGTAGCAAAACATGAATAGAGGAAAATGTACACTTGTTAAAAAAATTAAGACCCACAACACAATACTTTAGTAAATGTAAGACTTTTTAAGGCCTAAAATTTTTATTAGCCCTGGTAATTAGGTATTATAATAATGATGTAATTCTAACAGTTTAACCGCATAAAGAAGTTGATGAAAAAAATGAATTGTGATCAACGTGACATGCAAATGGAAAGTACTAAGCCAACACTATCACTGTAATAGCAGATATCTTTTATGAGAATACTGTAGGTCATATATCGACAGCTCAGTTATTCATTCATTTTCTTGTCGGCTTAGTCCCTTCATTAATCCGGATGCCCTTCCAGCCGCAACCCATCTCTGGGGAACATCCACACACACACTCATACACTACGGACAATTTAGCCTACCCAGTTCACCTGTACCACATGTATTTGGACTGTGGGGGAAACCCGCGCGATGGCATGCAAACTCCACACAGAAATGCCAACTGAGCTGAGGTTCGAACCAGCGACCTTCTTGTTGTGAGGCGACAGCACTACCTACTGCGCCATTATTTATTTTATATATTGCCAGTGCTCAAGGATGCTTTACCAACAGTAGAAGAACAAGAAAAGCAATAACCTTAAGAAGGTAGAGAAAATGGGAGACTAATAATACATAAAATAATGACAAAAGACATAAGAACATTTGACAAAAGAAACTCATTCCTGTCTTTCAATGAGTGCTTATGTGCATTTAGGAGATCTAGGCAGCAAACTCGGGGCTGCAAGATGGATTTAATTATAGAAGTAAAGTTGGCTTTATATTCGCACATTCAAACTTTCCCCTTAATAATATAATTTCATAAAATTATTTTTGCAAACTCTAAATAGCGAAATCATATTAGCAGCCAATGACTATCAAAGTACAACATTGTTCACAGTCAAACAGTGTTAATGCTGTTTTCAAGTCATGCTTGCATACTAATTCCGATCGAATATTCAAAGTAACATGGTAAACAGTATAGAGACTCCTAAATGAACGAATGTGTAAAACCAACTTTACCTCTATATGACTGAGTTGGTCTTTGAGAATGAAAACTAACCTGTTTGTTCCTGCGGATCTTCCTGTTTGACTGAGAATGTCTCTTCGATCTTCACATCTTCACTCTCCTCTTTTATAAACGCCATCTTTATAACAGTGTTTTTCTCTGTTTTCTCTGTGTTTGGACACTTTATCCTGTTTAAAAACGAATAAAACAATATAGAGGTAAAGTTGGTTTTATTTTCGCACATTTGTTAATTTAGTAGTCTCTATATTGTTTACCATGTTACTTTGAATATTCGATCGGAATTAGCATGCAAGTGTGGCTTGCAAACAACATTAACACTGTTTATTTGACTGTGAACAATGTTGTACTTTGATAGTCATTGGCTGAAAATATGATTTCACTGTTTAGAGTTTGCAAATAATACTTTTATGAAATTATATTATTAAGGGGAAAGTCCGAATGTGTGAATTTTATACCAACTTTACCTCTATTAAAACAATAAAAATGTTCTGTTTAAAATAAAAAAAAACAATGAACAGAAACAAAACAACTTCTCTTCAACACTTGCTTCAACAGTTTTTTTTATATGAAAGTAATAAACAAAACGTTTCTTTTAAACACTTATTACACACTTTTCTGTTACTTTATTCAAACAATAGCCCTCGGTTACTGAGAATAAACGAGTACTATGTTGTATAAAGGGTTAAAATATTTCCAACAGCAGGAACATAATTTAGCATCGTATAAAAAACTAAAACCTTCGAACTTTAACTTTAAATCGGTTTATATCTGTGTAAACATTATAAAACAAACCTTTCTCCAGTTGAATCACGGCGCTGAAGGGGCGCCGCCTGATGACGTCACACGCCACGCCAAAATAAAAGTCTTTTTTTTGTTTAGCTTTTTTGCCACTTACAGTTGCAGTCATGACTTATTGGTAAATTTCTCCCATGGTTTTCACTTTACACTATATCTCCTCTCTCTCACACAAATCTTAAATCTAAACATTTTCTTAACTTTTTTAATCCACTTATGATGACTTGTATGTCTACAACACATTACTTCCTATTAATATCTGAGTCAAAATCTCATCCTCATAATTATGACCTCTTCTTTTCTATTTCTACATTCATAGGCCTATATAGAGTTTCCTTTTTTCCAGATGAATTGTCGTCTCTTGTTATCTGTGTTCCACGTTTCCTGCCATTCTTTAGGAATATCTTCAATAATAATATTTAATTTACCTTTACTTACAGAAGCATTAAAAGCAGTTCACACAAAAATCACATTTCTGTAATTTACTCATCCTCTACTTGAGCCAAACCTGTTTGAGTTTCGTCTGCTGAATGCAAATGAAGAGAATACGGAGGCAAAAACAGACATGATTCAGCTGTTCCTATTTTGGACCTGGCTGCTTTTTTCTACATTTTCTTGCCCACCAAATGTTCTTGGAACTTGATTACAATTCAACCAGTAAAGTCATATGTCACATGTTTTAAAAATGTTTTTGGTTCCTTTTCTGGACTTTGAACATTTCTGGACTCGTGCTGTCTATGACAGATGAAGGAGCTCCCTTATTTCGTCTAAAGTGTCTTCATTTGCGTTCTGAAGATGAGCAATGTTCTCTGGAGATTAAACAACAGGTAGAGGGACAATCGTTTGTCAAGTGCTTAGTGTACACTGTAAAACACGCCTCCCATCAGTGCTGATATACAGCCTACAGCCACATTACACTGCTTTTTAAAAATGTATTTATTCATTTTTTTATTGCAATAACAACAGGCCATTACAACAAATAGAAATACAAAAACTGATAGAAGGCAACATCGCACTGCTACTCGTGTGATTTTACTCATGTATTCATTTATTATTCAATTTTATTATTTTTATTAATCAGGGGTCACCATAGTGGAATGAAGCGCCAACTTATCCAGCACATGCTTGACACCAGGGCTGGACTGGGACAAAAAATCGGCCCTGGCATTTTGGGCCAAAGCGGCCCACTACATTCAATCAAAATGCTATCTATCTATGCACGTCCAATATTTTTATCAACTCATATTTTATAAAACACAAAAGCCATATATATGAAATAAATAAATACATACAAACTTTAATCTCAATTTAATTTCTGTATACTGTCCATAAAGATATTTGTTGAGTTCTAAAAAATACACTATTCATTCATTTATTTTTCTTTGCATTAGTCCATAATTTATCAGGGATTGCCGCAGTGGAATGAACTGCCAACTATTCCAGCATGTTTTATGCAGCAGATGCCTTTCCAGCCACAACCCAATATTGGAAACCAGCCATACACACTCATTCACACACACTCATACACTACAGCCAATTCAGCTTATTCAATACACTATTCACTCAGCCTATATTCAATAATAAACATAACAAAAACTGCCTGCTAATGCATGGGTAAATCTTCAAAGAGAACAGTGTACTTTATAACCTCATTCACCTCATCCTTCTTGCTGTTTCCCTATCTAAACAAAGAAAACATAATATAAGTCAAATTTGTTTCATTTTGATATTATGAATAACAGACACCAAACAGCCTCGTGTAGCTGCATATTTATATGAGCGTCAACTTCACTCTGCATATTTATAACAAAACAGGGCTTAAATATAACTGTCTCCTTTCATTTCCATTGAAAAGAATGAACTTTACCTTGTCTCATTTGCAGAATATCAGTTTTAATAATCAATAATGGCCATTATACCAGAATAACGTACATTAAATTTAAACAATAAAGGTAAGCAATCAGTCAATGTGCAGAATCAGTGTATGTGGTTACATAAATTAATATATTAGCTTATCTTTGCACTCAGCCAAAACAGAGTTACCTGAGAACAAGTGATTCAAAAGACAGAAGAGTTGTTAGAGACAACAGAATGAATTCAATATTTAACAACTATAGTGAGATGAGATCCAGCAGATGAACAGTCTAAAAAGGAACATGAAGAAGAAGGACATGTACTATACTCTCACCTGGGGTTTATGCTCACCCGCTGAACTACTGGCTGCAGCTCTTAGCAGAGAGTGTGTATGTGTGTGGTCACGTGATTTGCGTTTTTAGCCGTGTACTAGAATGAACGGAGAACTTTTCAGAACCGCTAAATGAAACGCCGGTGTATTTCCCGCGATTTCTCTGCGTCTCCCTTGCGTTTCTTCTATCTGATTCTCGACTATTTTGACAAATACACACAGACGACGCACGCTCACACAGAGTCCAAAATAGGAGTTTGTGATTGGGCCAGCTCAATGTCAATACAGAAAAGAACCAATGGGCTGCAGAGTGTCACATGGGCCGGCCCGGTCTGTCTGTCCGAGAAAAAAGCATCTACTTTCAGAGAGTCACAGATCACAGCAGTGTCAATTAATAAGGCAGAAAAAACGATAGGCTGCTAAGCCTTTTATGGGCCGATCAGATCATAAGACGATGATTAGCCCGGCCCAAAAAGTACGTTGGCCCACCGGAAAAGTGCCCAGTCTGCCAGATGGCCAGTCCGCCCCTGCTTGACACAGCGAATCCCCTTCAAGCTGCAACCCATTACTGGGAAACATGCATAGACACTCATTCACACACACACTGCATGCACACCGCATGTCTATGGACTTTGGGGAAACCAGAGCATCCGGAGGAAACTCACACGAACACAGGAAGAACATGCAAACTCCACACAGAAATGCCAACTGACCCAGTTGAGGCTTGAACCACCAACATTCTTGCTGTGAGGCGATCGAGCTACCCACTGCACTACTGCACTCACATGTGTAATTATTTGAGGTAAACTGGTATTAGTGAAGAACTATGCTTACAAATGGTTGTTATTTTTAAAACAGGTCAAAAGGCACCATTCAGATGTAGCGATCTGGAGAATCAAGCATGTATTGATATAGACACTATGCTTATTTGTCCTAAGAGATGTAAGGCAGGTCCTGTTCATGTAATATGTTCATGTAATAGTCTATCAAGTTGGTATTGGCATGAACAGCTATACATGTTAACGGGTTTCTTATATGTAAAACGATGCTATTCAGTTAATGATCAGGCAGCTATTACTAAAGATGATTGCACACAATGATGAGCCATTTATGTAAATGAATATGTGACACAGATATTTAAAATTCATTGTTGCAAACAAGTTACAGGAGTAAGTGCAGTTGTTGTTTTATGTCATGTTCACTACTGTAATTAACACCATTGTGAAAAAGAAGTCTGAGAAATGCTGTAGTTGGTGTAGGTGGAGCAAGTTAATCACATTAAAAGTTCTGCATTTTGTAGGTATGAAAGTGAACTCGTCATTGAATTATTCTGTATAAACTGCCTATACAATAATTTAACTTGAGATGTAATTATTTTCTGATTATAAATATTTAGATGCATCACAGTATGTGATAGCTTTACTGTGTTAAAAGGAAAAGGTTTTGTCAATTGGTATCCTATATATGCTTTTGTGAATGTCTATGCATATTTGTTTGCACAAACACAAGTAATAAATAAAGGGAAAAACATATTTAATACATACCAGGTGAATAAGAGGCAAAAAAAGAAAAAAAAATTGGCACAGAAACAAGTTACATTTTAATAGTTAAAATCTAGAGACATTTTTGAAAAGAAATAATTGATCTGTTAAGAGTGTGTTGACTATTACAAAAGTCAGTAATGAGCTGCATGTGCTTTAGGAGAAATAAAGGACTCTAAACTCACATAAAGAACAAGTTCAGTGATAAATAAATAACTAAAACACTGCTAATAGTTAGCTCATGTCAATATATTGACTAAACTTAACATGAATAAAACTTCACTGTGAAATTTAGAAATTGTTTCTTTCAACGAATGATAATATATCACAGTTTAATACATCCATATATACATTTAGTATACATCTTCTATAACTATTATATAAGTGAATGTAGTTGTGTGTATTGAGAAATCGGTATGAATTGAGTCTTCAATGCTCATTTGCATCTTTAAACAAAGACTTCAGCCAAGAGACTCTGAGAAGCTTCTGCAAAAACAACACACAACTCTTGCACTACCTTTTAACCAGGCTTGGGAAAAAATAAATGGAAATGTGTTACATATCATAAGTGTATCAACATTAACTACAAAATGCAGCAGCCAAAATAAAAAAAAGCTTTCATCAAAAGTCCTATAAAACAACAGCAACAAAACAAATGACGATGGCTAAAGTCAACTTATTTTCCCAATACATCATTATTTCTCTGTAAAACTGGTTTGTAAAGCTGCTGAACTTCCCATCCTCTACAGTAATGTGTCTCGAGTCTTCACTGCTCCCCACTGCTCATTTGCATCTTTATACTGGCATTAATGGGGGCCAATTGAGTCTTATCCAATCACATTCCAGATCCAGTAGCTCAGCAGGGTTGCATCTTTATATTCTGGGTTCCTAAAAGAATCTTCATTGGCTTATTTTGCTATAAGAAAACAACTTTGGAGGACAAACTACAATTTTAGATTCCTACATTGGGATTATTACTAAAACAACATACAAAGAAAAATCCACTGATGCCTTTTCTCATCCCACTTCTTCATTGAAGACTGAAAAGGTGAGTTGCACATTCTGAATTTACACTCAAATAATATCTGAATGCTAACATTATAAAATGTAAAATCTAAACATGTGTGGATGCATTGTTCAACAGTGTATTAAATTAATCAGTCATTTTAAAATGCTTCTTTACAACTGTTTAGTTTTTTTGTTTGTTTGTTTGTTTATTTGGTTATAAATATTGTTTTTATCCTGACAAATGGACTGTAGCCCAAATAAGTTTCAACCTATTACATATATAGGTTGGAACCTGGCAGGTAATTTTGGAGAATTTGATGTTTCCCCATTCAAACATACAAAGAGGTGGTAACATCAGTGAATGCAAGTGAATGTGGGTTAAAGCTATGGATGAAGAAATGCAATCGTTTAAAGAAAATGCAACCTCTTACCAACCTACCTGAAGGCCAAGATCTAGTGGGGGTAAATGGGTTTATTCAATGAACATAAATGATGGTCTTACAAGTACAAAACAGAAAGCAGATAAAGTATAAAGTGGAAAAAAGAGGGAGAAATGTATCAATAAGTCATGATAAAGAATAAATGGGAAAAAAAGACTTTTATTGTGGCATGGTGGTGTGACGTCATAAGGCTGCGCCGCTCACACACTGTGATTCAACTGGAGAAAGGTTTGTTTTTAAAGCTTTTACACAGATGTAAACCGACTGATTAAAATTTCAGTGTGTTTGTTTAATGCTAGATGTACCTGCTGTTGACAATATTATTTTAACTGTAAAGAAGTATTATTAAGAAGTATTATTTTACTCACAGTAAGGTCTATTGTTTGAATAAGATAGGATAAACTTTATTTGTTCCCAAGAGGAAATTCTTGTCTTGTGCAAATAAGTGCTACAGCTGAGCTGTAAGCAGACAATTAAATAAATAAAACAAAGAAAATAATTAACAACATTTGTTAAAGTTTGAATACAGCAACAATAAAGTGTGTAATAAGTGTTTTAATGAAGGTTTAATTTATTAAGTAGCATAATGCCATTCTATTCAAAGTATACATCACTATATATAAGAAATGGAGTACTAGTCTTAATCGGCTCATTTGTGGCTATTGTTTCTTGCTCAGACTTACCTGATTTCTGTTTGTTAATGACTCTCATATAAAGAAACTGTTGAAGCAAGTGTTGAAGAGAAGTTATTTTGTTTCTGTTCATTGTTTTATTTATTTTAAACAGGACATTTTTTATTGTGTTGTTCATTTTAAACAGGATAAAGTGTCCAAACACAGAGAAAAACTCCTGCTGAAGCGACTGATCTCCACACTGTTATAAAGATGGCGTTTATTAAAGAGGAGAGTGAAGATGTGAAGATTGAAGAGACATTCACAGTCGAACAGGAAGATCTGCAGGAACAAACAGGTTGGTTTTCATTCTCAAACACCAACTCAGTCATTTGATCCTCATTCAGATATATTTTAATAATAATAATACTAAATTAAATTCATCTTGCAGTCCTGAGTGTGCTGCCTAGTTCTCCTAAATTCACATAAGCACTCACTGAAAAACAGGAATGAGTTTCATTTGTTACTTGTTCTCGTGTCTTTTGTCATTATTTTAATGTATTATTAGTCTCCCATTTTCTCAACCTTCTTAAGGTTATTGCTTTTCTTGTTCTCCTACTGTTGGTAAAATGTCCTTGAGCACTGGCGCTATATAAAACAAATAAAAACAATAAATTAAAAAAGTTTAACTGAGCTGACGATATTTGACCTACAGTATGCCCATAGAAGATATCTGCTATTACAGTGATTGTGTTGGCTTAGTACTTTCCATTTGCAAATGTCACATTGATCACAATTCCCCTTTTTCATCAACTTCTTTATGGGTTTAAACTTGTTTGTAGTAGTTGTTACTAGTTCTCACAGACAGTATCTACAATTACATCATCATTATTATAATAACTAATTACCAGGGCTATTCCCTATTTAATACCTGCAGGGTCTTAAAATGTCTTAAATTCAAAAACCTAAAAGTTTAGGCCTTAAAAAGTCTTAAATTTACTGAAATATTGTGTTGTAGGTCTTAAATCTTTTTAAAACAAGTCTTCATTTTCCTTTTTTCATGTTTTGCTACCTAATCTGGCCAAAACCCACACAATCACCAACAATCCATCTCAATAAAACCTTAAACTTTTCATTCAAAAAGGTCATTTTAACTCTTTATCATAATGCTTTAATTATTTTCGTGCTTCATTTGTTTAAACGTGCTCCATGTTTTTTCTGCTGAGGACATCGACCTGGACAGATTTTTGTGCATAGATTTAGTTTATTATAGTTTATATAGTTATAATATAGTTTAGTATAGTTATTATAGTTAGTAAAACATTTGTTAATTTGTTTTATATTTTAAAGGAAGTTTATTTTGGAAAAAAAAGTGTGGATCAAAGTAGAGCTCTCTTGTTTTTACACAATATTTAAGATCTTTTGCTAAGAAATATGTAAAATATTTTATTGTTATTATTATTATTGATTTATTATTGTATTATTAAATATTTTATATTATATTTTTTGATAGGACAAATAAAAATCTTTTTCATCTGGGGCATTTGAAAAATTCCTTAATCTAAAATTTCATTCATAATGGTCTTAAAAAATGTCTTAAAAAGTCTTAAATTTAACTTGGTGACACCTGTGGAAACCCTGACTTAAAGTATGTCAGAAAATGTGGATGCCCCTAATTTGAAATATGCTGAATGAAATGGACACTAAATTAATTAATTATTATAAAATATTGTATTCTAAACTATATGTTGTTGTTGCGGGACGACGTGAGACAAAACAATAAAATCATAGTGGAACAATAACGTTTAGCATTGTACTGACTACAACTGGCCAACAAACTAGTCTAAAATTACTTTTGTTGCTTAAGAAATGGAATACAGCATGCTGATGATATGCAAACATTTGAGTGTAAAGTTCATCAGAATATTGACCATATTCTTCAAGTACCAGCAGACATTGAAATTGGAATCTTTTTGCTTGAGACTTTTTTTTAAAGAATACATTTTTAGATCCTAAAAACAGTGTTGTGCTGCTGAGGTGTAGGACAATAACTGTTTTCAGGGTATAACGCAGTTTGAAAAAAGTCAAGGTTTTAAAACCGCCAATATTTTCTGCTGTACCGTTCATCTGTATATGTAAGTTTTTTTTTTTTTTTACATTTTGTTTTAAGGACAACAGTATCTCCAGCAGAAAGGATATCCAAAGATGCTGTTTCAAACTGTAAAGAAATCTGTGTTTTTGAAACAAAAGAAGACAGCAGAAGTCAAGGATTCAATTGAATGACATGCCTGACATGTTTACGGTTCCAAATTATTTAAAAAGTTTCTCAAAAGAAAATGTTTTGTGTTCAAAGAGGAAAAAGTGTCTGTTTACCCAGACATTTAAAAAATATGAGAAATGCTGTTTTGGTCATTCTAAAACACCTCAACCGTTTAAGTATTAATGTTATTATATTATTAATGACCTCCAGAGTGTCTGGAGCGTGTCAAGAGCGTCTGTTCTCCACATCTCATTGCTTCAAACGCCACCACGTGTTCATTGTGTGTCGGCATTATCCTCTGATGTGAAAGTCTTTTATTAAATAAAGAAAAGATTCATGTAGCTTCTCCTACTGCAGTAAATTCTGTTTTTACTGTTGATATTTCAACTAGTTAATCTAGTAAATCAGGAAGTGACGATTTTGTTTTCTTTGATTCATTGGATGGAAACGCTAATTTATTTGAATATTTTTTGTGATATTCCAGTTTTGCAAATAAATTTAATTTGCATTTTTGGATGGAAACATAGCTATTGCCTACATTTCAGTCACTCAAAGAACAAAGTTACGTATGAGAATGGCTTGTCCTTCTTTAATGAATAAATAGCTTAAATTCACAGACCTTCAACAGGAACATGTACTATAACTAGATTAATGGGATTATTACTTGTTCAAAAAACTATTTAGTACTGCTTACATTCTTATTATTCAAATATTTTTATTGATTTTTCAAAAGTCTACGATTTTTCCACAACAAACAAATTAAACAACAAATTAACATGGTACATTGCTACAGACATACTCATACCCCATAAAGAAAAAGGGAAAAAGAGAAAAATAAAAATAGGTAAAACAAATCAGGAAATTAGGGATAAACTCTTACTTAGGATATAATAACCCCTGAGCGTTCAGTGTAAGATAGGAAAGGCTGCCAAACCTCATAAAACTTTTTTTGTAGAGCCTCGGATGGTGTACTTAAGGTGCTCGAGTTAAAGATGTGATAACACTTCTAATATCCAATGATTGTGGGATGGCAGGTTCGTCTTTTTCCACCTGAGAAGAATCAGGTGTCTGGTCAGTAAATAAGAAAAGGCAATGATTTCGACGTGATTAGCTGACAGGTACATTTCTTCTGGCACTGTACCAAAAATTGAGATCAAAGGATTAGGATCCATATCTTTATTACATTTAGATGAAAATTATCTAAAAATATTGGTCAAAAATGATGTAATCTAGGGCATCCCTAGAACATATGACTTTGATCTGCTGGCTCCAAACCACATCTGGGGCAAGATGAATCTGACCCTGAATACATTTTTGCCAGCTTGCTCCTAGATAGGTGAAGCCTATGAAGCACCTTAAACTGAAGAAGACCATGTCTAATACATACAGAAGATGAGTGTACCAGTTCTATGGCATATTGCCAGGCTGTATCTGATATTTCTAGTCCCAGTTGGTCTTCCCAGTTTTGCTTTATACGATTTAGGGAAGTGGAGGCAGTTCTTTGGATCACTTCATATAACATGGACATTACACCTTTTTGATATGGGTTCATGTTTACCAATTCATCTATACAGCATGCTTTTGGTTGGTTCAGTGAAGGAGAGAAGTTTTTTAACGAAACCAAAGACCTGAAGGTACCTAAAAAATTAGAGTGTGGAATCTCAATGTCTGTTCTTAACTGTTGAAATGAGATAAATATGGCATCTTTTAACAGGTTCTTATCACAGTTAACTCCCTTCCTAGACCATCATTGGAACGCTGAATCTATAAGAGAGGGGGGGAACAATGGATTTAACAAAATTGGAGCAGAAATTTGGCATTGGCAATCCACTCTCTTCCTTCTTTTTTCCAAGAGTTCCTTTCTTATGCAAGGAATTTTCTTATCCTAGAGAAATGTAAAAATACAATTACCATATTTTCTGGACTATAGAGCGCACCTGTATATAAGCCACATGCGCGCTATTTAAAAAAAAAAAAAAAAGTTATACAAACCGCACCGAGCTATAAGCCGCAGATATCTATGTTGAAAAATTTGAAATTTACTGCATGTACAGAACGATTTTGTACTGAAACTGTACATGTATGTATGTACCTGAACAGATTCTTTCTGAACATTGCCTTTTAACACGGCAGCAACTTTGCTGATAAAAACAGAACATTAAAAAACGGTATTTATTCACCTTTATTTCTCTTGTGTTTGAAACCACAAGTCACTTTAATCATCTTTGCTGAAACCCATGAATTCATCTTCTTCAGTGTCGGAGTTGAACAGCCTCAGAAGCGCTTCATCACATTTGTCTCCATCAGTCTCGATCTCTGTGTTGCTTTCATCCTCTAGTAAATTTAGCTCTGAAAGTGCACCGCTCTCTTCGCGTAGCAGTCCAGCCTTTCAGATCCCAATGGTAATGGTGGATTCTTTGACAGCACTCCACGCTGTTTGGATCCACTGACAGACATCAGAAAATAATGCTTTTTGCATGCGGCCAGTTTTTGTGAAAGACTTTTTACCACTTGTCATCCAAGTCTCCCACTCAACCCAGAGTGCACCTTTTAAATGCCCAATTCACACTGATGTCAAGTGGCTGCAAATACGTTGTTGTACCTCCAGGAATCACAGCTGTAATGGAGTTTGTTTTCTTGATCGCTGCTTTCACAGAATCTTCGATGTGGGCCCTCATGCTATCCAAAACAAGCAGCGTTTTTTTCCGGTGAAAAAAATCGGCTTACCGTAGCACTTCGTTAACCATTCCTTCATTAGGCCTTCCACCATCCAACCTTTGGCGTTAACTTTGACCACTATACCTTTTGGGAGTTGTTCTTTGGGCATAGTTATGTGCTTAAAAATCACCATTGGTGTAATTTTTTGTCCGGATGCCGTGCATGCCAGAACACAGGTGAAGTGCGTTCTCTCATGGCCAGTTGTTTTCAACAACACGGATGATGCACCTGTCTTGTTAACAGTCCTGGTCAGAGGCAGATCAAACGTCAAAGGTACTTCATCCATATTATTGATGTTGTCTGGTCCGGGAGTTCTCTTTTATCTTTGTTTCAACGAATTTATGGAAGTTTTCAACTTTTTCCTGATAGTCAGGAGGGAG